GGAAGGTGAGGGCATTATCAGAGGGGAGCGATCCCAGAGCTCAGGAACAGGGGGGAGCCATGTGTCTTTAGAGATCTGCAGGGGGCAGAAAGAAGGGGCTGTGCAGAGGCCTAGAGTCTGGCTGGGGCGGGCAGGGGTGAGAATGGCAGCAGTGAGGGAGAGGGAGGCCAGCACAGCAGGGCACAGACGGGGGCATGGAGTCGCAGCACTGTCAGGGTGTCGGGCAGAGGGGGCTGCTGTGTCAGACCCGCAGCCAGCCGAATGTGGAAGGCAGCAAGGCTGGTGACTGAAGCCACCTTCCTGGTCACCACCAGCAGCCTGCTGTGCACCTGCTATGTGAAGCACACCCAGATCTTTGCGGGTAGTAAACACACACAAATGAATCCCGATGCCCGCCCTCAAGCCATTCACAGACCAGGGAAAACTGGGAGTAGATCTCTCAATCTGCATATTTTCGGTGTCCCCAGAAGGCTTCCGACTACAGCTGCCGTCAAAGACCAACCTGGGTTCAGTGCTCCCTCCCTTCCCACCCTTGACCCACCTACACAAGGCGATGTCTCCACGGAGAAAATAAACAGCCCCCTCTCAGAGAAAGGGGGTCTCCAACAAAAAGCTGCATTTCTAAGTCCCTAATATGGCCAAACAGAACCCAGGGCGTTTCATTTAAGCTATGATTTTTCTGTTTCTCTTTTCACTGATTTGAGATGTTCAGAAATAAGTCTCATTCTAAAAATAATATAAGAAAAGATAATATAATAATATAAGAAAAGAAAGATAATATAATAATATAAGAAAAGATAATATAATAATATAAGAAAAGATAAAGCAGCCGGCAACCCTGGGCCCTGGGAGGAGGAGCCCAGGAGGGTGGCTGTGTGACCAGGCCACAGCCATCGCAGCCTGGGACTTCCGACTGCTGGGACGCGAGTGGCAGGTCCCTTTACCTTCTGTGGTTCTACCCTTCTCTGTGCCACTGCCCTGAATGGGAGGCCATGTGGCCCTGCCCTGTCCCTCGGACCCCCCATGTTCCTATTCAGCAAGCATCACAACGAACGACGGCTGCGTGGGTTGAACCTCGACTGTGACCTTTGGAGTAAAGCTGGTTTATTGGCCCATCACTCGGGGATTGCTCACCTCCGTTCCTTTTGTCCCTTCAAAGTCCGTTCTGCCGTAAATGTCACCTTTTGATACCTCCCACGTTTCACTCTGACTGCCGCCCTCTGGAGCCCAGTGTGTTGTGTTTCAGATAACCGAGGCGTGACCATAGGGACCCTGGTGACCGTGCTGTGTCTTCTCGCTGCTGGGTTTGGGGTTTACCTCAAAAGGAGGACCTTGATACGGCTGCTGTTTACCAACAAGAAAACCACCTTCGAGAAGCTGAGGTGCGCTGGGCCTCGCGCTGTGGCTGTGGCTAGCAGGGTCCTCGGGGGCGAGGTGATGGTTGAAGGGATGCAGGGCCAGCCGCTTCTCCCGGGGGGGCCTTAGAAAAGAGAGGGCCAGGCTCTCTGCACAGGAAGACCGGGGGCAGCTTCTGACCTGGCTGCTGGCTGTGGGGCTGCGCAGGGTGCCGGTGCAGGGTGCGGGCTGCAGGGTGCGGGTGCAGGGTGCGGTGTTTTCTCCACCCTGGTGTTCATAAGCTGTGCCCCACCTGGGGACCCTGCGGGTTCTCCTCAGAGGGGGTGGCTTGGGGGTCCCAGCACATTCAAAGCCATCATTGCTCTGGCTCCAGCTTCTTTCCAAACACCCCCCCCCCGGCTACCCCATGGCTGTGTCTACGGGGAGTAAGAACTAATTTGACAGAAGGGTGGCTCTGGGGGAAAGAAGGTCAATATTTTTTTTTAATCTGATAAAAGCATGAGATAATTCTTCCTCTGCAAGTTTGCCACAGTAAGTTGAAATGAGTGAGTGATGTTCTGAGTGTCACTATAAACACCAGGGAGAAAAGAAACGGCTGTGGCTAGCAAGTCGGATTGCCTTGCAGGTGTGTGCGACCCTCCCGGCCACCCAGCCGCTCCCAGCCCGTGCAGGCTCATCGCGCCCACCTTGGGAAAGGCCCGTCCAGCAGGCCACCGCACTCCAACATACCAAAGGTGAGTGTGGGACGAACATGGGGACTCACTGGGCTCATGGACACGCAGCTTGCGACACAAGATGGATTCGGGAGGGGATCCTAGCTGCTTCCGGGAAACGGCCGGCTCACTCGGGTCACTGAGGGCTGGCCGGCTGGGGGGCCTGGAAGGAGGCCCACAGTGCCTCCATGGAAGCCCCCCTGGCCCCTGCAGAGATGTGACGTGGTGTGTGGGGTACCGTAAGCCCCGACCCCTCTAGTCCCAGGCTGGTCCAAGCTGGCTCCTGTCACCGGGACCTCCTTGCTGTTTCCAGAGGCCACCAGCTGGGTTTGGGGGAGCTGCTGTGACTCCTGGAATATTCTGTGAGCTTCACTCAGCCCCAGCTGTGCCCCTTCTGCTCAAGCCCAGAGCTGGGGAAACCAGTCTGCCCCATTCTTTCAAAGAGAGAGATCCTGAGGCCAGAGCCCCTCCTGGTCCCTCCTGTCGCTTCGTCTCCTGCTCGAGTTCATTCTCATACTTGTTTTTTTTTTTCTACCAAGTGCTTTTTTTTTAATCTTTTTTAGTTGTAGACAAACATAGTATCTTTATTTATTTTTATGTCACTGAGGATGGATCCCAGTGCCTCACACATGTGAGGCGAGTGCTATACCGCTGAGCCACAACCCCAGCCCTCCCACCAAGTGGTTCTGATGTATCTGTAAGAATTCTTGAATGTTGAACTCATCCAATGAAAGAATTCAAATTATAACAGGGACAAGACCGATGTCAAGAAATGAGAAATTATTTTTTTAAAAATCATCATCTTGTACTTAGCAGGAAATAAACTGTTTTAGTTCCGTCTCCCTTGATCCAGAAAGTAGAGTGAGGTTTCATTGGGGTTCCTCATTCTTCGTTCATTTCCAACCTGGGGTGGTGAGCAAGAATGGCTTGCTCTAGGACAGCCAAAAACACAGCTTTGCTTCAAAGAGCCCCAAACTTGAAAGTGTCTATCAACAGGGAAAATGATGAACAAGCTGTGATATATTTACAGAGCAGAACACTGCTTGGTATTTAGAAGGACTCGACCACTGATGTCCACAATATTGTGGATGAGTCTCAATAATTCTGAGTGAAGAACCAAACAAAAGACCCCGTTTATATGCATATGTAACTCTAGGAAATGCAGGCTGACTCCTGGGGACAGAGCACAGATCAGCAGTGGCCAGGGAGCAGGAGGTGGAGGTGGGGGAGTCGAGAATGACAAGGATGCCCTGGGGTGACTGGTCCATGACTGTGCCTGTCCTGACGGCTTCATGGTGTAGGTAGGTCAGCAACTACCAAATCTGCACATGAACTGTGTGCAGCAAGCGCATGGCACTGCCCTCCAGAAAACTGGTTTTTAAAAGAGAGGAAGGGAGCGAGGAACTGGGAGGGAAGGGTGGGGCCTGCAGTACAGGCGCTGGGCCTGGCCGGGGAACCTGGGCCAAGGTCCAGAGCAGCCCCGAGCGCGGCTTCCCGGGGCCAGGCCCCCCTCCGGGTTAGTTTTCTGTTTCTGGGGTGCCTTGAGCCTGGTCAGGCTAGGCTGCCCCTCCCGCCTCCTTCTCTTCCCCCGCAGGGGCAGGGTCCAGGGTCTCTCTCTCACTTGCCCAGGGTCCTGCCCTCACTGACCAATCAAAGCAGTTTTTAAGAATCTGAATAAAACATGGATTCCTCCACTGCAGATGGGCAGGTGGGTGTGGGCCGTCCTCCTCGGGGTGCCCTGGATCCCCGCCTGCAGCTGCAGCAGAGGAGCCGCCACGTCCCCTTGGGAATCGCGGACATCCTTGAACCCTCCGCCTCACGGCTCTTTGCTCTGACCGGGCAGGACAGGAGATGGCCACAGGGGCAGAATGTGGACATCAGCAGGCCCCTCGACGCCCTGGCTGTCCCTCAGCCACAGTCACCGCGGCGAGTGCTCCCGCCCCTCCAGCAGGCCCCGCGGGCGCCCAGCGGCCCCGCCAGGCCCCTGCCCGCCGACCCGGTGCCCAGGCAGACCCAGGTAAGCCCCGCCCCGGTGGGTAAGCCCCGCCCCGGTGGGTAAGCCCCGCCCCGGTGGGTAAGCCCCGCCCCGTGAGGTCCAGTGCAAATCCAGATTTTGCTGCTTGCCGCGCTGGGAACCTGGGCAAACTGCTCCACCTCTTGTCACCTCTATAAAATGGAGATGATTCAGCTATTCAGACGGTTAAATGAGATGATGGGCATGAAGCGTTTGACAGAGTACGATGTATTTTAATTGACTAGGAGTAATGTTTTAAAATATTCAGAATAGGAAAAGTGTTCCTGCAACTTGCCCTTTAGCCCATGACACATTTGAGAATGGCAGAGGGCACTACTACTAAGTAGCCTGGACGATAAAACAGAGACAGCAATCCAAGGCAGATGGTCGCTCTTAGAATAATAAAGGTCACACTTCCTTACATTTTTTTATCTTCAAAATTAAACACAAGAATTTCATCACCTATTGAGTCTCTCTCTTCTAGAAGTAGGATGTCTATTTTGTGCTTATCTTCTCATTTTTTTGCCGGTTTTGAAAGTAATGGTTTGTTTTGAGTGTGAATGTGGCACTTCATGGTAGGACACTTGAGAAGGGGAAAACACAGCAAATGAAAAACGGAGATCGTTGGTAATTTTTTATTGCTTTTGTTATTTTTCTTCTAGTAATTTTTATATACTGTTTTTAAAATAAGTTCTATGCTCTATACCAGCTTTATCTCCTGCATTTTTGCCTTAAAATCATTCCCATTTATCATGGCATTATTAATCCTACAAAACGTTATTTTAGCAATAGCATTCTTTTGGACTATAGAATAGTTTCTGAAGCCTGGTGTGGTAGGACACACCTGTAAACCCGTGAATCAGGAGGCTGAGGCAGGAGAATCATAAGTTCAAGGCCAGTCTCAGCAACTTAGTGAGACCCTGTCTCAAATTTTAAAATAACAATAATAATAAAAAGGATATAGCTCACTGTTAGAGCACCCCGGGGTTCATCCCCAGAACCCAAAATAAGGTTTTTTAAGGACTTGCCATTAGTGGGCATATTTGGATATCTCTAGTTTTTGCTCTTATGAGCAGCCTGTTATGAAAGTCTAGGTAGATAAAATTTGGGACTTCTTTATTCCCTTAGGAGAGTCTTAAAAGTGATATATGGGGGAAAAGGACTGGTCATTTAAAGCCTCATAGTTCAATGTTTTTTGGAACTGTTTTATGTGTTTGTTCCCACATTGATTTTGTCTTCCTAACAGGATGCTAGTACCAAATATCAGCCTTTCAAAGCCTTTCCAGTTTGATAGATGCACACACCACTCCGTTTCCTTCCTGTGCAGTCGGCCAGTCGGGGACTGAAACGATTGTTGCCGGGTCTGGCTGTAACTGGGTTGCCTTTCAGTCCGTCAGTGTTTGCTTCAAGTGTGTTGACGTTCTCCTGCTGTGGGTACACACCATTAGGATTGTTGTGTCTTCTTGGGGAACTGTAAGGTCCCCTTTGTCATTATGAATTGTCCCTCTTTGGTTGTGTTTGTTCTGAAACCTCCTTTATCTGGTACTCATATACCCTCAGTGTTCTCAGAGAAGGTCTTTCCCATCCATCACACTTTCCGCTTCAGAGGGCAGGTTTATTGGGTTCATTTTTGTTTCTTGGTGTTTTAGTTGTTTCCAGGTCGGGTGTGCTTATGTGTTTTTTCCTGTTACGTACCTTGAGGAGGACACCGGCACCCTCGCAGGGACTCACCACCGGGTGGTTCCTTTAGTCCTGGGGCCACTGGCCAGTCTACTTTCTTTCTCAGCTTTCAGAGTCTTCCGTTAGCCGTCTTGTGAATTCTGTCCAGACTTTTCTGTTGTAATTAACAGGAAGAATAGGGTGGACTATTCTCATTCCATCTTGTTAGGCCTCGATTCTTTTTGTGTTTCTTTGGTTACTGGTATTCAAACCACTTCATGTATGTCTAGTAGCCAATGGTGTGCTGGTAAACTGGCACTAAAGAAAATAAATAATAATAATAATAATAAAATGCAGTGCTGGGCACAGTGGTGTACATCTGTAATCCAGTGTCTCAGGAGGATGAGGCAGGAAGATCTCAAGTTCAAGGCCAGCCTCAGCAAATTAGTGAGATCATCAAAAACAGAGCAATACCCTGTCTCAAAATTAAAAATTAAATAAAAGGCTGGGGATGTAGCTCAATGGTAAAGCACCCCTGAGTTCAATCCCCAGTACCAAAAAAAAAAAAAATCCTGACATATAGCAGGTTTCTCTTTCATATAACGCCCCCCCCCATCCCGCAGAGTCAATTACAAACTATTAAGGTGACATCACTGCACAGGAGCAGGGAATCCGCTGTCACAAGCTAGACCAGCTCCCACACCCACTCTCAGGGATCTGTTCTATGCATTATCTGTCGCTATCCTTTGACTTTTTTTTTTTTTTTGCTTCTATTAAGAGGTCAAGTTGGCTCCCTGATGTATGAGTTTCTTTCTTAATAGATCATGTAATTTGTTGTAATTCTATTTTGCATTTGGCACAGAAGAGCTCCAGTTTTGAATATTCCGCGTATTAATGGCTCCTTGTGAACCCTCCCATGCCTTCCATGCTTGCAGAGCCGGGAGGGCCCGCATGCAGTCTCTCCTGCTGACTTGCTGGGCTGTCCAGGGTTCTGTTTTTCCATGTGTCTTGCTAACCTGCCAGGGTTAAGTGGGTGCAAGGCAGTGGCCCCTCCTCCACTTCCTGGCCCATGGACTTGTTTGAGGACCCGATGAAGCAGTCAATAGCAGCAATCAGCATTCCGCACGTGCTCTCCCGTGTCCATGGAGCCCCGTGGATTCCCTTATTTGGGGCTTTTTATTCCTGCCTTTAAGTAGCCCACCTGTGCATGTGCCAAACAGGGACTGCCACCCATGTCGTGTCATCAGAGAAGCCACTTCTCCCTGATCACACGACTTGTGGGTGGCAGTCCTCAGGGAATTCTTTCTCCCACCAGCTGTGCATGCCCACAGAAGTGAAGTCTTCAAGATTCCCTTTCAAGCAGGCTTTGGAAAAGCCCTGCCTTTGTGATCCTTTAGCCATTACTCACTGAAAAATCCACCTGTTCACTCCAGGTTGGTGTCTGTCTGGAAACTTCCAAGACAAGTGACACAGAGTGAGGACGAGGCTCTTCCCCATCACATGTAGACCTGGAGTAACTCCATGTAGGTGTGGGGAGTGTGTGGAGGTGGTCTTGTTCAGCAGCACAGATGGAATCCACTGATGCTTTGCATTTTAGAATTCCCTGTGCTCTGACCTGCAGCCACACAACTAATTCTGCTTGGTTTGTCCAAACTCATCACATAATCATTCCCAGAGGAAAGAGAACACCATTACTAACACTATATCGATCAAGCTCACATCTAAAAGGTAAGCTAGTTCTTAGTAGAAAACATTTCATCTTCTCTAAAATGTTGTTTGGCTTTAAAATTCAAGGACAGTTGAATCAAGTCGTTCTCTTGTCTGTGAAGGTACCTTTTCAAAGTACCATTTATTGCATGGTAAAACAGGGCTTGGAATTAAAACTTCTCATCCCAGCCACCACCACCCTCCCCAGTCTTGATAAAGGAGGCAGACTTTAATTTCTTTTTTATCCCCATCAGCTATTCTAGAGGAAAATAAGTTCAGTGTATTCCTATCACTGCTGGCTGGCTGCTAACAATTTCTCCAGAACCCCAGCCAAGCGTGAATGGTCCAGTGCAGGCTGCAGAAAAGAACGGTCCACAAGGAAAAGAATAAGAGGTGGGGGGGGCGTCTGACCCCCTAAGCGGGGGCAGAGAGCACAACAGAACATCTCTGTGCCTCCCGTTGAGTTGGCCTTGACTTGTGTGTTAGGTTTGCTGCTCCCCAGGAATGTGCCCTGGAGTGGGGGCTAAGACAAGTCAGTGCACACTTGCATGTGTCAAGCCCCTTTGGAAGCAAGGGGGAGGCTCCCTGCACCCTCTGAGGCCGGGCAGAGTTCATGTTGGGCTCTAGAAAGGAAAGAAGAGGACGTTAAAATAAGAAGCTGCAGGCGGGGCTGAGAAGTTGAGGACAGATCTGAGAGGGCTTACGAGAGACTTACATGGTAAGACTGAAAAAGCCAATTTTACTACAGAATTCTTAAAAAGAATTATATGAAGTGGAGAATACACAAGAGCGTACCAAGAACATGTCTTAAGCAGAATCCTAAAAGGTTGTCCCGGGAGGGTGGGGACCAGGGCACACACTGAGGCACGACAGGGAGAGAGCGTCAGCCCTGTGATTTCAGACACCCGCGTGAACCCCCCCGACCAGGCTTTTGGACCTGGGAATTCTCTGAACGTCAAAAAGGAAACAGCCCTGGAAACGCTGCTAGGGTGAGGCCAGAGCCGGCCACGGGGAGGAAGGGAGGTTCCCTGTGCTGGGAGAGGACAGCATCCTGCTGAGTCGGCATGGAGCTGCTGGGAGAGGAGGGAGCGGCTGGAGGATGGGAGGTGGCAGGCAGCAGAGGGACACAGGCCAAGTGTCCCACTGTCCCACAGAGATGGACTCAAATTGCTAAGTTTCAAATGAAAAATAAGTGTGACCCACAAAAGGCTAAAAATATGAGGGCACTCAGGGCATATTCCCAAAGGCCAGGCACAAGTGCGCAGAAGAGGGAAGGGGCAGGGAAAGGCCTGCAGGGGGTGTTGGGGGTCCCGGGGCATGCCCAGCCGAGACCCTTAGACAGTTTACTCCAGTTCATTGGATTGATTGATTCATTTACCATTTAATCAAAAACATGCTCAAAAAGGAAAAAAAAAACATGAAACATGCTCAGTGTCACATCCAAGAAATAAATTTCTCAGCTCAAAGAAAATTGTGTCTAGAGAAGCTGAACTAAGCAGCAGATCAAGACAGCTTCCTGCTGTCACCGGGATGGAGGGAGCTTAGAGGGGAGCATGCCCACACCCA